TTTCCTTGTCGGGGGCAGAGCTCAGGGCTCCCTGGGCTGAGACGCCAGGACTCCCTCCCAGGCCAAGCGAGGGGGACCTCGCCCATCCTTTGGGGTGGAATTGTGGGACGGGTGCTGGAGGACTATCAGCGCTCAAACCACTCAGCCTTACTGCAGTCAGCCTGGGCGCCCACCCGCCCTCCGCGCTGGGACAACTTGCCCAGCCTTCCAACATCGGGGGGAGAGGCTCTCCCGGGGGGCTGGCGGGCGGCGGGGAGAGCCTGGGTTAACTGTGGGGTGAAGCCCTCTCACGCCAAGTGCCTTGGGCCCAATTCAGAGGGGGCCTGCCACTCCCACTAACCCCGGTGGAGATTTCTAGTCCTCACATCCTGCGAGACGCCAGGCCCAGGGGTCTCCTGGTCGGAAGGGTCCTGCCCGTGCTAGGGAGGGATAACGGGATGCTGCCCAGCTCAGCGACTGGCTAAAAGGCTTTGGAGAAGGGCCCAGCATTCCCGGCAGCCCACTCTGCACTCTGCCCGGGGGGCCTGGCTCCAACCTCACCTTGAATTCCCCGACGGCCTTCCTCAGCGCTCGGTCCAGCTCCTCGGAGGAGACCCTGGCGTAGGTGAAGTCGATGAAGTCGCAGTCGACGTCCTGGGTCCCCACCGTCCCGATGGAGTAGGTGCCCTCCTTCTTGTAGTGGAACTTGCCGGTGCTGCGGTGGAGGAGGACGGTGTGGAGCACGGCCAGCATGGCCTCCTCGATCTGCCGGCCTTCCACCGACACCTCTAGCACCTCGGAGCGGCAGTTCATGGTTGGCTGAGGGCACGTGAGTCTGGTGCTGCCAGGTGGGGAAGGCAAAGCGGAGCTCTCCCTGCAACCGAACAACAAGCGAGCACGTTATGGCAGCGGGACAGAGGGCAGGGCAGGGCTGGGAGGGAGGGGCCCAAGTTCTCAGCTCTGCCACTGACTATGTGACCTTGGCCAAGTCACTTTGCCACCCCGTGCCCTGCTTCCCCAGATGTACAATGGAGAGAAAAACCCGCCTGTTATCCTGCCCCTAGGCAGAGCGCAAACTCTTCCAGGCAGGGCGGCAGGTCTCTGTGGGGATGTCCAGGGACTGCCAGGACACGGACCATCCCAGAGCAGAACAGCCAGGCTCCGTTGTTTGCTCACAACAGCGTCAATTGTGGGTGCGAGCAGATCATGTGATCTGCGTTCCATTCTGGACTCAGTCACAGACTTGCATAGTGGCCGCCCCGGCTCCTCCATTCGTGGCTCTGCACTGTGAGGTCTCCTTAGCGCATGCGAAGCCCTCCTAGAAGGGCGCCCTCTAGGAATGCGAAGTAACAGCTTTGCTACGGAGGCCCATCCCTAGCAAGGCTGCGGCGAGGCCAGACTCTTGTCTCAGCCTGTTTTACAGCGTTTCACAAGGCCACCGAGTCACTAGTGGATTGACAAAGGGCGCTGCAGTGAACCAACACATCAGAGACTCTCCCTTGCTCCCAAGCCCAGCGCTGGGGGCAGCACGCTTACCTCCCCCCACCCCGTACGCAGGGCCGTGGTCTGCCCCCTGAGATCCCACAAGGGAGTCTGTCACTGAGAATGGCTGTGGGAGGCTCTAGCAGGAGCCAATCATGGGGCTTTCAATGAAGTCAGCAGTCACCCCAAGGCGGGGAGACTGACCAGTAACCCTGTGAGCCTTCACTCAAATGGGTCTGTGTGCCAGCCACATTAGCTCTGAATGCAATACCTCCTTCACACAGCGCTCCGGATACTCCTCCACTCGCTTGGCAAGTCTTGTTAAAGTACAGGTCTCAGAGCCTTCTGGTGGGACGCATCCCTGGGTGGAAACAAACAGTCAAAGGTATCACGACTCTCTGCTCCAGCAGCTCTCCTGGTCTGACCCTCACCCTGCCTTGCCCTCAGCCAGGCAGTACACGATGTCACCCGAGAGAAGCAAAGCTAAGTTTTCCCCTTTTGCTGGAACCTTGCATCTTTCATCAGTACATCTTGGCAGGCTTTGCACACAAAGACTAAGTCTCCCAACCCTGCTGTGTGCTAAGCAACTGCCATCATCCCCATTTCACAGATGGGGAAACTGAGGCACAGAACCGTGACACGCTCAGGCTCACATAGCAAGAAAAGAGAAAAGATCTGAATAAACTGAGCCCTTTGCTTTCACTCCCTTGCTCTAACCACTACAGAACACTGCCTCGGGATGGCTACCCAAATATGTATTTTTGTGGTTATTCTCGATAAAGAATATTTTTACAATGGGGGAATACTATTTTTGGTAGATAGTATTTTAACTTTTCAGGTGAGGGGGCTAACTGAATAGCCCATGGTAAGGAATAACCATTCCTGTCCTTTGGTCTCACGTGCCCAGGTGCTACCCAAAACAACCTGGGCATCTTCCAAAACTTGCAAAACATTGCTAAGACCCATGGAGAGGTGTCTGCAGGTGGTCGTGTGTCTGCTTGATGTTACATCTGCAGGAGAACTGGAGATCAAGAAAGGAAGGCTATTTCTGCTGTGGAAAGCCAAAGCAAGCGACTGTAAAAGAAATCTGTCTAAAATGACAGCAGTCTGCCCCCTAGTGATTTCTAATTAAGGTGACACAAGCGTCCTCAGATTTAAACATGGGGTGGGGAGGGGAAAAGATCTGAGAGGCCCTGAGTACTCCTGATCAAACCTCATTTCGCACTAGCCAGAAAGATGAATTCATTACCTGGCTCCTAGCACCAGGAAAGTTTGTTTTCCAACCAGCTCATGAGTTATCCATAGACTGGTGGTGACAGGGAGAGCCAGACTGAAGCTGTTTTAAAAACCACTGTGTTTGCATTAACAAGAAGAGAACCATTCTTTACATCAGGCTTTAGGAAACCTCATCTCCTTTTAAACAGCCATGACGCTTAGCAAGGTGCACTGGACGGAAGCTGTGGTCCGTGCGCGTCCAGGATAAGGATGTTAAAGTTATGGTTAATTGACTAGTCGAGTAGTCACTTCCGCATTCCTCCTTTTAAATGTATAAGAGCCCCCACTGGGGACTTTTGTACATTTCAAAGCAGGCATGGCCGTGTGCAGCCAGGGGCCAGCAGGGAATCCTGCTGACTCTGGGCTGCATGCAGGCGTGCTTGCTTTGAAACGTACAAGAGTCCCCCAGTGACCCCGGGCTCCATGCTGCGCTGCATGCCGCGTGGAACGCGGGATCTGCTTGGGACTCCCAGCTAACCCTGGGTTCTGAGCCACATTTCCCCAGAAATGCCATGCATGGCGCTGCCCCTTTGAAACGCCAAGGCAGCATTTTAAAGACGCAGCACAGCACAGCTGATCTTCGGCTCAGCTGTGTGGCATGCCGCTTTGAAGTACTCCTCCCCCCCCTTTGCTGCCTCTATCTGAAAGTGGCAGCAAGGGGGAGGGGGGCAATTGACTAGTTGACTGACTATCTGACTAGTCTTTACTCCAGGAGACTGCTGTGATGGTCTAGACAGGAACTGAAAGTTAGGCCCTGTCTATGTGAGAAGGTTTCACAGGTACAGCTGTAATGCACCAGGGATATATTGATACACCCATGAAGGAGAGAAAACTGGGCTATGACATGACAAAAAAAACAAACCCTCTGTGTTGCCCTGGGGCTCACTTCTCTGCTACAGGTAAGTGATCAATTCTGCCTGTTTTGCTCCCTGGCTTATGACACCGAAGAGGTGCCCCTTTGCGCTTGTGTGACTCAGTTTCCCCACCCATGAGACAGGATCGCAGAGTAGAAGAGCGGAGGCCGCATGGATTAGTTCAGTGGCATCTATCCAGGGCCCCGGTAAGGGGCTTAGGACCGGGTCCACTCCCAAGTCAGGGTAGAGACCCCCCCACAGTCACCCCAGGACCCTCACAGCCCCTGCACACCAGCAAGGCCAGACCACTGCCCCTCCCCAAGGGGGCTTTGGACCTTTGCTCTGACCCAGCCCGGCTGGGGCGGGCAGCGG